GTCCGCATTTCAGTGATTGAACCTCCAGACGAAATGTTTGATCTTGAAAAGTCTATAAGGGTTGATTCGGTTTGATTGTCTAACAAGTTGAAGTGGTGTTCAACCATGTATGCCCAGTTGCAATTGAATTATTTGGCTCAACAACCAGTGGTTTCGATTCGATTCGATATTCATCCTCGACCTGCTTGTCGAAAAGAGTCGCTCCTGGCAACATCGGAGGATTGAACCAACAGAGGGTTGGAGCTGTTTGATCAGAGGAATGACAGTTCAACCCATATGTAGCATACGCTGTCTTTTCTTTCTGTTTCAATCCTCGACCTGCTTGCCTATAGGGGTCGCTCCTGGTAGCATCAGAGGATTGAAACATCAGAGGGTTGGAATTTTTTGATCAGAGGAATGACAGTTCAACCCATATGCGGCACACGCTGTCTTTTCTTACTCTTTCAATCCTCGACCTGCTTGTCTATATAGGAGTCGCTCCTGGTAGCATCAGAGGATTGAAACATCAGGGGATTGACCCAATTTGAATCGAGCTTTAGGATCTTTAGGAGTCATGGCTCTCGCAATGGTCATAGAATACGCCTTCCTGCCAGAGAGTGGCAAAGACACCATCAAGCTCAGTGATTTCCGACTGTGGCCGGGTCATCGGGCATCAGTTTTGGCCGAAGACAACATTTACATTCCCTGTTTTGCCCGTGGCGGCGGCGGCGCCGTCAAATACCGATTTGAAGGGCGTGAAAGCTTAAAGCCCTTCTTGCTGTACAAGCCTTGTCATAACAGTTTCCAAAGATTGGAACCTTGCTTCACGAGGAACGTCCAGTTGTGGCTGTGCGCCAAGAAGTCGTGACCAAAGACGACGGGGAGGTCCACGCCATTGTCCAGACCTTTGCAGCGATTGGAAATTTCACCCGTGCCAGATTCTACGCACATGCGACCTAGACATTTATGTTTAGTTTAGTTGCGAGGGTTCCAAGATAGGTTGATTTGCCGGCATAGCGAGCGGTCGACTGTTATGAAAGGGTGAGTTGCAATCTAGCGCCTGAATATGTATACTGATGGAGAGTATCCATCGTCCGTGGTAGCCATGAGTGAAAACATGGCCCCGGTTGGGTAAGGCTCGTGGGCGACCGATTTGAACTCTTGCTTCTTGTTTGCTTGCTCGTTTGGTAGTGGTGTCTGGTGCTGCGGCGGAATGAAAAGAATGGAAGGCAAGAAATAGGAAGGAGGGCCGGCAGGAAAAAGAGGAATGGAGGAGAGAAGAAGTAAACAGATGAAAAGTGGAGAGAAGGACGAAAAGGATGGAAAATGAAGAAAGACATGGAAGGAAGGGAGGGAAGGGAAGGGTAGTTTGGTGACTGGATCTTCCACAGTGATCTCGAAGGGGCCTTCGAAGGTTTGGTAGGCATTTGGTGGCTTTGATCCATCAATGGTTGGGGCCAGCAGAGCTAGGTCTAGCTTGTCTGCAAATTTGAGAAGCTCAGCAATGTGCTGCTTGGTGGTGAGGACGACACCAGCCCGTGCTTGTGACACCTGCAGTCTATGTGTTTGGAGCATGGGTTTGGTGTCAGTACCGTAAAACGGGATTGGTGCTTGCAACTGCAGGTCTTCCCAACGCGCCTGTGAAGTTTTGGCTGATTTCTTCCATGGGTCATTGAGCCAAACTGGGTCTTGCTTGCCTGCTGGGGGCCCTGATGAAGGCTGGCTGGGGCTGGATGTCTGCTTGGGGCTGGTGACCTCCATTGCAGGGGAGTAAGAAGAGCACCCTGCACGTCATGAGGCAAAGAGTCCACTGTTTGTTCAATTTCCTGTACCAATGCATGCAGACCTTGCACTCTTGCATGTAGGGCTGATTCTTCGTCTCTGTTGAGAACGAGCATGCACGTCGTTCCCAGCGAGGTTGACAAAACCAGATCCTTCCGTTGCAGCCGAAGGGTCTCTGTTGGCCTGGAATAGGCCACGAACATGGTCAGCACTAACATCGCGCTGGCCACACTCCCGGCTTCCAGCATGTTCTGAGCAATCAATGCCACCAATGGAAACGGAATTGGCGGACGACTTCGTCCTAGGTCCAAGTTCTTCCAGCCTTTGAGCGACCGTCGAGCCCTGGGTAGTTTGTCCCTTGCCCCTGCCTCGGGCCAACTGTCTATGATTGCTGCCAAAAACTTTGACCCTTCTGCATATTCCATGCCATCGTTGAAACACTGCTGAAAGAAGGTTGTTAGGCATGCATCCAAGTTCCTGTTGCCTGTTGTTGAGATATTGTGCAACTGGCAAAACTTTCGAAACACCGTGACTCTCATCTGATAGTCTGCGGCAGTCTTGGGAGAAATTGCTGACTGTTCTAGAAAGGTCTGTCCCGGTAGTCGCGGATTTGCTTGCTCTTCCACCAGTTTCTGCCGTTTTGCACTGCGACCCTCCTCCGTTTTGTCGGCAATTCTCCTTCGAACTTCTGCTGGGGTGGGGATCTTTGACAACCCCACATATGGATGAACTGCCCTCTTCAAACGATTGACCACGGAGTCCTGTTTGGTTCCTGGTCTTGTCGGTCTTGATCTTTGAGCCTGGGTCGATGGCCTCTTGTATGGCCCTTTGCGTGCTCCTTTTGGGAAAGGCTAGACGGAGAGAGCAAGAGAAGTTTATTTGGCTGGAACAACACCAAGAAAGATCCATATACTCCCCAGGAATGCATCATTGCGAGTTGCACTCGGCGCCATTCAATCCCTAACCCATGGTGTTAAATATGTCAGGATATTCACCAGAATCCTTGGTTGCTTTGCTCTTCGCAAAACCCCTGACATATCTGAATGGATTCGATTACAGACATCGTAGGTCATACTCCTCAATGACCTGGACATTGTTTCGAAGCCAACGCTTTCTTGTGAAAAATGTTGTTGGATACCGTGTGCCTATGCAGCATGCATGTCATTCCTTGCAACCTTGTCTAGTGCAACATGAAGGAGACATTTGCACCACGCCACGACCAACAGCAGGCCCACAGCGAAAGTGGGGCAGTGGGGGATCGAGAGGGCAAACCCCCCAACTTATGACAGCGCAGAAGGCCCAAAAGCAAGAACTACATACTTGTTTGAGTATGTTTTCCTGTTTTCCTTTGTGTTTTCTCCCTCCTATTGGTTTCACTTATATATCCATTCCTTAGTTGTTGCCAAAGAAATATATATACATACAAACTTGTTGTTTAATGAGATTGGGAGAAAGATAGCACTGAAAGATATGCCATTTTTGCATTTGAAGCATGTGGTGCAAAATAGTGCAAGTTATCGTCCATTGAAACTATTATTGAAAAGATATAATACAAGAAACATGGTATACTTGATATTTAAATAAATATATATATATATAAGTACATGAAACTTTGAACTGCATGGAAGTATACCGATTCGATGATTGATGCCTTTTCTGTTTATTGTTTTGATTGCTAAAGGTTGCGATCATTTCTCGTTTAAGTTTGTTTTATGTGCGTAGTTGATGTTAGCCGCGAATCGAAATCGACATCCAAATCGTAGTGGACGTTAAATTCAATACATTAAGTCAATTAAGTTGTTCAACCTGCTTGGAGAATACGAAGGGGGAGGAGATGGGGAGGAAAAAACATTGAGGCAAGGAAGGAAAACATGGAGAGGAGTACAGAGAGGAAGTGGAGAATAGGACGAAAGCGAAGAAGATTGAAGAAAGAAAGGACGGAAGGAAGGAAGGAAGGAAGGCAGGCAGGCAGGAAGGAAGGAAGGAAGGGGCGGAGGGAGAGAAGGATTAGCTTGGGGTCTAGGGTGTTTAAGCATTTGAAGGAGAGAGTTTGCAAGGATTGGAATTAAGATTCGATGTATTGCACATGTTGCGCAACGTTTGATAGGAGAAACTTTGCAAAACACGTGCGACTCTCTTTATTGGGGCTGTACGCAGTTACATGTTGGAGTGTCTGTTGTCAATACTTCTTTACTTGAAACATTGACGCAGGTCTCTTCATATAGCTCTGTTTTTTTAAATCTCTGCGTTACAACCCTCTTCGTGACAACATTCTCGAACCCCGTTTACACCAAATGTACTGAGTTTGTCTTCACGCCAAGTTCCGTCGAACCTTCCAGTCCACATCCCAGACTTGTTTGGAACATTTGCGCATCATAAAAACCGCTGAACGAAAATAACACCCTACTGTTTCAATAATGCTGCTCTATTTCATCTATTTCAAGGATTTCACTTTTCATAATAGTTTTTTTCGCCATGGCTCTCAAGTTAGCTTTTGCCCTCACAACAGTGGGCCGAAGTTTTTTGAGGCCCCAGAACTTCGGCCAAAAGAAATGGGAAACCCAAGTACAAGGACACACAAAACTTGATTGCCAACTATGGGCCATAAACAAATTAGGCCCAAACAAAAGGATACACAAAACTTGACTGCCAACCGTAGGCCAACATTTCTTGGGGTCCCAAGTAAAAGGAAACGCAAAAATTTACCGCCAACTTTGGACCAAAAAAAGGCACGCGCAAGAAAAAGAACACCCAAACTTGACTGCCAACAGTGGGCCAAAAATGTTTGGAGGCCAAAGTACAAGGGAATAAAGAACGCGACTACCAACTATTCACAAAAACAATTTGAAAGGCCCAAGTACATGGACACAACAAAAACTGATTGCCAACTACCGTACGCAACGAAGCTACGGTATGACGAGGGAAGGGTGGACTGATCATCCACCTGTACCTGCGCTTTTTCAACACTCCAATCTCCACCGCTGTTTTTTGATGCCATGGTTGTTCTCATGATAGACCCCAAAGCATTCCCCACCGCCGCTTTCTGCAGCTGCTTTTCTGAGCCACCGCTGTTTTCCGCAGATGTGCGCAAACAGTTTTTGAAACATCTTCAAGCGCTCGGACGATTGACCTTTCGTTTCCCTCATCCATTTCCTCGTGGAACAGAGTTAACTGCAAACCCATTGTCTAAGTGCGTTTGTTACTGTGTCACCTCACTCGGACAGCTGCAGGCCAGCAACAAGCGCACGGTGACAACGCAGTCTTCATTCTGGCTCAACTGCACCATCCCTCCTTTGCCAAACACCGAAAGCGGAAGTTTCCGACGCTAAGATGGTAGCGCCCCAACCGACGCACGGTCTCGAAAGGCTCATGAAACTCTTGAAAGTTGCTCTAGACACCCAGTCAGATCACCTCAAGTGACATGCCTTCCCAGGGGAATGCCTGTGGCATCTCATTAAATTGATGCCACACACACACCAAAAAAAAGGAAAACGTCAGGGTCTCATTGACTGGAAAGGAAGTACACAGAATATATTCGTATATAGTTGAAGATGATAGCGGGCCGTCCTACAAAAGGTTCGGAGTCACAAACGTAGCCCGTGAAGCGGAAGGAGGCCCAACCCAAAGAGCAATCGTCGCCCGAATAAGGGAGACCGATGTCGAAGCAGGATTGCTGGCAGCTCTGATCCTCCACCCAGACCTGGAATTGATGCGGTTTCGTCACCGCGCGACAAAAAAACGCATAGTGGTTTTTGGCCGAAAGGACGGCAACAACGCGCACAACGGGACAGGCTGGGTCGTGATGGTTGAGCGTCAACAAGTGATAACCAACGTTGGCCGCGGGGCAATGGTGTGCTTTGGCTGCAAGCAGACAAAACGGTACGTATGACCCATTTTCATGAATCTGGTGCTTTTCGAAAGTTCCAGCAACATGTCTGGCAATGGTTGCTTGTCGGGTCTTGTAGGAGAGTGGCGTGATTCTTCATCTCCCAATCCCTTGGCCTCCGCCGCCCGCTCGCGAAAGTTTCGCCGCCAGGTTGCGGGATCCTGGTTGCACCTTTTGTTTCTCAACATCTCCAAACGTTGGCTGGCACAGGACACTTTCTTCTCCTCTTCAGCTGAGCTCCAATGGCACTCCCTCAATGGTAAGCTTAAACAACAGCTTCACATCATGATTAGTCCCCCTGTGATTCAGACCTGTAAATAGCGGTTGCACTTGTCTGCACTGGGCATGAGCCTTTGGACACGACCTACATATGGTCACGGTTCGCTCACCGATGGTTCAAACCCTGGAGCCCATGGGGCTGATCGTGGACGCAGTGGCAAAAAACGAGACAGCGAGCTTAGGTGCTTTTTACAACGCTGCGCAACCCGCAGTGGTAGCGGAGCATAGCTACTGACATGGGGGGCGCGACGGCTTCCGTGGTTGAGGCAACCGAGTGCGGCAGCGCTTCGCCCGTACATTCTCCTGGAGGACTAGAATGTGATCTTCCCCTGGGCTTTGATGAAGGTGACCCATCGGCTGTTCGATACGGAGGCGGCAAAGGTCAAGCGTGAAGCCCGCATGCTGCGGACTCTCATGAAGAAGCTCAAGGAACACTTCGCTCCCTACTTGGAAAGTGCACTACCTCGTGCATTTGAGAAAGCCTGCGAAAGAACAAGGAGACGATTCAGGCGCGCGTATATATATATATCATCCACCAGGGAGCGGCCTTTAAGGAGCTCAAGGACGAGGGCGTGGTCTTGGACGGCGCCGTGAAGGGCTACACCACCTTCCGGCCAAGTCCAGGAGGATCAGGTATGGTTGAGACGAGGTGATCAAAGCACTGAGACGGCTTGAGAAGGCGCACCATGATCGCAGCGGCAAACACTATGCCACGGCGGACGACAGGTGACAGGTCTACCACCAAGAGGAAGGCATCGGCTTGTTCATTGAGGACAAGGACGATCAACGACGGGTTGACAAGCCGAAGAGTTGGAAACCCTTCAGAACAATCTCGAGTTCCTCCCACTCGGAAGTCATCAGGGTCGGCAAAGATCCAGTTCTATTGAGCCTGAGACCTACAGTGACAACCGCGGTGGTGAACATCGCACTGCAGCTGGCCGCCAACTACAACTTCAACACCTATGCGGCCGACCTAAAGAATGCATTCATGCACTCAGAAGGATTGGTGTGGGAAAGCGGAAGACTGTTTTAAAGACAGCCCCAAGGGCGGACTACCCAGCACTCAACCTGCCAACGATCGAGATCATGGCCAGAGCCCACGGTCTAGGAGGCGCTCCTGTACATTGGCGAAAGGGTCTCGGAGGAGCTCTGCTGAAGTGCAATGGACCCACGCGCGTTCAAGTACATTGGACGAAACGTAGCTGGAGTTCGAGAACTACAAGAGTTGGTCATTGTGGAGGTGGATGACCTGCTATGTGTGGGAAATGAGGCCCATGACGGAGGTTTGTCGACTTGAAGAGCCAAGAAGAGGGAGTGTCCCTCAACGGCAAAAAGAATTAGGGCAGGAGGCTATGATGCCCTGGACATGGAGAAGTTCATCTCAGAACGACTGCACCCAGTACCATTTACACTGGGTGGTCGCAAGAAAGACGAAGAGGCAACCGAACAGGAGAGAAGCTATGCGCGAGCTTCAATTGGAGCCTCAACCCTGACGGCGGAGACACAATCTCCAGCCAAGGGGTTACAGGAGGCTGGCGTGGAGCATCACAGTGCCCAACTCGACTTGAGGGAGTGGGAGAAAGCTGCGAGCCAGAGACGACTCACTGCAATTGACCGGGAGAACATCGACGAGACCTTGCAGAAGGGGCTATGCTTCTTCGACGCCAAGTCGCAGCTTGACCACTTGGTCAAGTCAACGGTGGGAAGCACTGAGGACCGACGGACGGCCATAGAGATGCAGCTGGTGCGCCAGAGCATGCAAGGAGCCGAGATGGATCAACCACGAGCGAATGATCGTGGACTGCTTGACCAAGAGGTTCGGGAACAAAGAATCTCTAAACAAATTCCTCAAGAGTGGAGTCTTGAGTTTTACCCAGCGTAGCCAGCAAAAAGTGTTGGGAACCTGTAAATAGCGGTTCCACTTGTCTGCCCTGGGCTCTGAGCCTTTGGACACGACCTACATGTGGCCACGGTTCGCTGACCAATGGTTCAAACCTGGAGCCCATGGGGCTGATCGTGGACGCAGTGGCAAAAAACAAGACTGCGAGCTTAGGTGTTTTTTCATGCCGTGTTACCCACAGAGCCACAAGTCAAGTTTCTATGGATTCACTGTCCACGCCGCAAGATCGGGTGCGTAAATATTCAGCCTCCATTCAGGTCGCTGAGTTTTCCCGCATGTCAAGCTGTCAGAATCATGGAACTGATTGGGTTTTTCAAGAAGTAATGCCTAAGAATTGTCCTCAAATGCCCAACCACGTTTCTCCTGGTACTCTGTCGGAGGCAATTCGCTGCACCTCAGCGGTGGTTGCAGACCATTCTGCGCATAGTTGACATCAATGTCGCTGCGAAACGAGCCATTGATGAAGATCTGGTTGTTCTGCGCAACGTTGCGAGGTTGGAGATGCACACTCCCTGAAATAATCATGGAAGTGGGTGGCATTGCCCCGAGTTCGGATGACCATGAAAATCCGACTACCAAACAAACAATAAAAACTCACTCCACCTCCATGTGAACTTGATTCGCAGAGTGTGTCATTGTTTGAATTTTCCAGTCCGACTCCAACGCCTTCACCTTTACGAAGATCACCGACGGCCCTTTGTCTCGGCGGACTGCAACTGAGTGCGGTGGACTGAGCCATCTGGGGTGGACCGACGGTAGTAGTTCTTAAAGTCCCCAAACGGTAGGAGTTTTTCAGAGCAGCGTCCCACTCAAGTGGGCTCCGGATTTCCGCGCGGTCACGTGGCGATTGCGTTCACCAACGAAAGGTCGCATATGATCTTCATCTTGCGCTCAAGGGCAGCGGCGGAAGAAATTGGATACAGCGCAATTAAAGTGACACAATTTGCACTCATGCCTGTGCTCTCATATGCGTACCCTCCTGCAGGCCAACATAAAAACTTGACCAATTCACTAGGTCCACTATCCCCAAATGGCCTCTGGCGGGAGAAAAGCCCAGGAGGTCATCCCCCCCTTCCATGCAACCAGGTCTTTGACCTACCCATCTTTCCTGGAGGACACCCCGGTGCTCACTTCTGTCCTCCACCGTGATGGGCTGCTGGTGATCATGCGGCAGAATGGCGTAGTTGGCCCACCTGGGCAGCCGGAGTATTTCTGGCTTTCAATCTCATGTTCAACGCTTTGCCATGCCATTTGAGGTCTTACACCAAAGGCTCAACATCACTTCGCGCTGTCATTGCGGGCTCATGCTCACACTCTACATGTTGGTCTTGTTGTTGTTGCTCTTCTCACAAGCCACAAAATCTTTCATGAAAAGATTGAAAAAACTGTCCTGACGGGCCAAACATATCTCAGAACTCACAACTCCAGCAGAAGTTTTTCCGTTGCCCAGATGTTCTCATTTTCGGACGAGACTGGCCTGGATCCTCTGGAGCACCTCGAGCGCCACTCAACCGACTGTGCCGTGGCTAAGGTATGCCCAGGGTTCGTCCGCTGACGGTAGTAGACGCGATGAAGGCTTGGTGGAAGTGCCTCAGCAGGGTATAGGCACACCCAGTGGGGGGGCAAAGGCACACCAGTTCAAAACTGGAGTATTATATATATATATGTGTGTGTGCGTAATAGTTAACATGTGTACAATAACATAATATATCCAAATTCTGCTTGACCAAAAAGCACCTCTAGGAGTTAAACTCAAGCCACGTACCAGGGGACAGTTGGTCAATTGGACTGCCACTCATCGCAACTGGAAACTGTTTCGCAAATTGGTTCTCTTGAAAGTGCCACACTCCAAACGCTATGATGGCGCCATTTGCTCGTCGATCCAGGCATCTTCCCCCACTTTCAGCTCCTCAAGGCCTCACGTGTCGCATTAAGGCAGTTCTCAGTGTTGCGGCAACTGATGCGACCAGCGCGGCAACTTGGACATGCCCATTGAACAAAGTTCCCTTCCAGAACCATACCCGGTTGAAACCCGACAAGATTCACACTTCCCAGAGCCTCCGGAACCTAGCCGGAGCCCAAAAGGCTATGTTGGTTTGGACCCCAAAGCTCTCAGCTGTGAGGGAAAGAACAAGAAAGAGATTGATCTCCTTCAAGCAATAATATGCCCAAAATATTGATAGTTGTGATCGGGTGACCTGCATGGCAGGTCCCCCGATCACAACGAATGCGAAAACCACAGTGCTATTATATTTGGCGTTTGGTTTCTCAACGTCCGGTTTTGCAGGGGGTTGAGAACCAAATGTCAAGCAAAGTAAGTAAGTCCCGGCAATTGTGAAACTGAGGACTTTACTCCTGTTCTTGTACGAATCTAATCCTCTTGGAAAAACCTTGATGCTCTCCCATTACCAAGAAATTACACCCGCGTAGACCCCAAACAGTTTGTGTTTTTCAAAATCGGAACACTCTGCAACTGGAGTTTTGCGACGTCCAGAGCTGAGAGACAAAGGACTGGAAGACAATACAGCAGTCAGAGCTGCAAGACAAATGTAAAGGATTGCAAGGCAGAGGCGGACACAGCACCGCTGAGTTTGGGAAACAAATGAAAGGATTGCAAGGCAGATGCGGAAAGGCAGAGGCGGAAAGAGCAGTCCAGAGCGGGGAGACAATTGCAGACACAGGATTGCAAGCGACACCCAGAGCTGGGAGACAAATGTAAAGAAACCGCAGTCCAGAGCTCGGGGACACACGCAAAGGCTTTTTGTTGGTCATTGCGTCCGCCTTGTCTCGCTTCTGTCTCCCTTTATCTCCGGAAGTGGGAGACAAATGAAAGGAAGTGGGAGACAAGCCGGCCGGGAACCCGACCAGACCATCCAGCACCAAGGCGACCATTCTTTAAAGCATTGAGAACCCCCAACAGTAAACTGTTTGGGGGAAATTTTCACCACCGTAGACCCCAAACAGTTTGTGTTTTTCAAAACCGGAACAGTCTGCACTAGAGCTTGCAACGTCCAGAGCTGGGAGACAAAGGCTTGCAAGAGCCACAGCAGTCCAGAGCTGGGAGACAAATGTAGACACAGAGAAACAAATGTGAAGGATTGCAAGCGACGTGCAGCGCAGAGCTGGGAGACAAATCAAGGATTGCAAGGGCAAGGCAGAGGCGGATACAGCAGTCTAGAGCTGGGAGACAAGAAGGGAATCAAGACCTGAGACAAAGGGAGACAGAAGGGAGACAGGGCGGACGCAATGGCAGACAAAAGGAAACAGGAGGACCAGGACACAGGGACCAACAAGAAGGGAGAACGGAAGGGAGACAAGGCGCACACAGACAGAGAGGCGGACACTGTGACCAACAAGAAGGGAGACAAGAAGGGAAACAAAAGGAGACGGAAGGGAGACAAGATGGACACAGTGACCAACAAGAAGGGAGACAAGACCGGAGACAAAGGGAGACGAGGCGGACACAATGACCAACAAGAAGGGAGACAGAGGGTGATAAGCCGGATGGAAGGCGGACACGCTGTCCCACAGGCGGAGACCCTTAGAAAGCATTGAGTTACCTGTTTGGGGAAGTAACGAGATCACCTGCGAGACAAATGAATAGAAATGCTGCATGGCCAGCGGAAAAGGGCGGACACCAGCAGTGACAGAAAGGGCGGACGCATCTTAAGAAAGAATTGAGAACCTCTAACAGTAAACTGTTTGGGCAAAAATCGCATCGGGCATCGGGTACATAGTAGTAGTGATTGAAACAAGCTGAGTGCGTGAAATCACATGAAAATGCATGAAAGCAGTGAAAAATTCCAGTGAGAAATTCCAGCGGATTGAAACGTGAGCCCATCGGCATAACTTCAGACAAGAAGGTAGACAAGAAGGGAGACAAAAGGAAACAGAAGGAGACAAGGCGGACACCGTGACCCACAAGCAGAGAGACAAGACCGGAGACAAAGGGAGGATCACGGGAGACAAGGGGCACAGTGACCAACAAGAAGGGAGACAAGAAGGGAGACAAAAGGAGACAGAAGGGAGACAAGGCGGACACAGTGACCAACCAAAAGGAAGACACAAGAAGAGAGACAAAGGGAGACAAAGGGAGACAAGGTGGACGCAATGACCAACAGGAAGGGAGGCAAGCCCGGAGACAAAAGGAAACAGAAGGGAGACAAGGCGGACACACTGACCAACAAGGGAGACAAACCCGGAGACAAAGGGAGACAGAAGGGAGACAAGGCGGACACGATGACCAAGAAGAAGAGAGACAAGAAGGGAAACAGAAGGGAGACAAGGCGGACACAGTGACCAACAAGAAGGCAGACAAGACCGGAGACAAAGGGAGACAGAAGGGAGACAAGGCGGACACAGTGACCAACAAGAAGGGAAACAAGAAGGGAAACAAAAGGAGACAGAAGGGAGACAAGGTGGACACAGTGACCAACAAGAAGGGAAACAAAACCGGAGACAAAGCGAGACAGGAGGGAGACAAGGCGGACACAATGACCAACAAGGGAGACAGAGGGTGATAAGCCGGAAGGCGGACTCGCTGTCCCGCAGCAAGGCGGACACCCTTAGAAAGCATTGGGAACCCTAACAGTAACCTGTTTGGGGAAGTAAAGAAATCACCTGGGAGACAAATGAATAGAAATGTTGCAGAGACAAATGAATAGAAATGTTGCATGGCCAGCGGAAAAGGGTGGACACCAGCAGTGCAGGCACCGAACCTGGGAGACAAAAGTAAAGAAACATAAGGGGAACTCACAGAGTGACAGCGACGACTCTTTCTTTTCCTCATAATGAAAGGAGTCTGCAATCAATCTGCACCTGTCACGCTCTGAGAGA